TAAGTTGGGTGGAGAGCAGCTGCTGCCTGTGCACTCCATGTCCCCCGCCACTGCCACTCCCGGTCTGCTACTCTGCTTCCCCTGCTGCTGCCGCTGCCCCTCCCCTCCCCTCTGCTGCTGCCCTGCTGCTGCCCCCGAGCTGCCCCCTGCTACAGCCTTCAATGTACTGGGAGGGAGGGAGCAAGGCAGGGGTAGGCAGGGGACCAAGGGACAGCAGTGAGAATGGGGAGAAGAGTAGGCAGAAGCTAAAAGGAAGCAAGGGAGAAAACACGGGAAGTGAGCATGGGGTGAAGAACAAGCAGCAGCATGAGTGCATGAGGGAATCGAGGCTCACCTTGTTTCAGACAACCCAGCCCGATACTCTCCCTTTCCTCCGCAGCCGAGTGGAGTGCTGCCCCTCTCCTCCCATCGTTGCACCTGCACAGAAACAGGGGAGGAGCGTGAGGGAGTGGCGGTGTTGACCCCCACGCCCCTCCCCTCAACCGGCAAGGAGAGAACTGAAGGGAAGTGAGTAAGCGGCTAGGGGCAGAAATGTGAGAGGAGAGCATGAGATGGCATGTGGGAACCGAGAAGGGGGCCACTGGTGCAGCCTCAGCTACAAGCCACAGACCCAAGAGAGATACACACCTAGGGAGGCTGACCTGCAGACCTGAGAGAATACCTGCAGTACCTGGGGGAAATTACCCAAGAAAAAGGGGTCTGTGGCTTGAAGCTTCGGCTCAACCAGCGGCTTGCGTTTGAATGCACAAGCAGCAGGAGATGCAGCAAGGACTGAGGTGGAACGAAAATGAACGCAAGTGGCAGCGTGGGTACTTAGCTGTGGTTGGGTTGGGTGGAGAGCAGCTGCTGCCTGTGCACTCCATGTCCCCCGCCACTGCCACTCCCGTGTGAGCGACCTGCTGGGACGAGAGGGGGTAGGTCGGGACAGAGAGAGGCAGAGAGGAGGGGGGGGGGGGGAGAAAAGGGGGAAGTGAAGGGGGCGCAAAGGAGTGGGAAGAGCAGTGAGGAAAGAACCCCAACACAAGTGAAAGCGAATAGTGCAGCAAGCGCAAGCATCATGCGTGCATGAATGGACTGCTGCAGTGGCACACCCAAGAGACCTCGTACCGGCTGAACCAAACTAAAACAAATACCTGAGGCTGTACCAAGAAAAAAAATACCTACTACCTTGGGGGAGGGAGGTCTAATGGGTGTGACAAAGAGCAGTGAAAAAGGGAGTGTAATGCATGGTGCAAGCATGACAAGCAAAGCAACAAAGTGCAAGGGTTGGGAGAAGAGAGGAAGGGCGAGGTACTTAGCTGTGGTTGGGTTGGGTGGAGAGCAGCTGCTGCCTGTGCACTCCATGTCCCCCGCCACTGCCACTCCCGTGTGAGCGACCTGCTGGGACGAGAGGGGGTAGGTCGGGACAGAGAGAGGCAGGGAGGAGGGGGGGGGAAGAAAAGGGGGAAGTGAAGGGGGAGCAAAGGAGTGGGAAGAGCAGTGAGGAAAAAAACCCAGCGAAAGTGAAAGTGAAGAGTGCAGCAAGCGCAAGCATGATGCGTGCATGAATGGACTGCTGCAGTGGCACACCCAAGAGACCTCGTACCGGCTGAACCAAACTAAAACAAATACCTGAGGCTGTACCAAGAAAAAAGATACCTACTACCTTGGGGGAGGGAGGTCTAATGGGTGTGACAAAGAGCAGTGAAAAGGGGAGTGTAATGCATGGTGCAAGCATGACAAGCAAAGCAACACAGTGCGAGAGGAGAGGCGGGGTACTTAGCTTAGCTGTGGGTGGGTTGGGGAGAGAGCAGCTGCTGCCTGTGCACTTTATGTCCCCCGCCACTGCCACTCCCGGTTGAGCAACTTGCTGGGACGAGAAGGGGGAGATAAGGACAGAGAGAAGGGAGGAGGCGGAGGAGAGGACGCGGAGTGAAGGGGGAGCAGAGAAGTGGGGAGGGCGTTGAGGTCAGAAGCAAATCAGAGTGAGTGAAGTGAGAGCGAAGAGAGAAGAAAATGCAAGAATGATGTGTGTATGAATGGACTGCTGCAGTGGCACACCCAAGAGACCTCATACCAGCTGAAAAAACCTCAATCTAATACCTGAGCACGTACCTGCTACCTTGCTACCTTGGGGGATTGAGGTCTCTTGAGTGTGACAAAGGGCAGTAAGGAAGGGAGTGTGCAGTGTAGTGCAAGCGAGACATGAAAGCCAGCACAAGTGCGAGGGTTGAGAGGAGAGAGGTACGTAGGTGTACTTAGCTTAGCTGTGGGTGAGTTGGGTAGAGAGCAGCCGCGTGTGACGGAAGGGAGTGGGTCTGAAATCGCAGGTCGCGAGAGAGGTTCAACGGTCACCAGCGTGGCACCCACCAGCGTGGCATCCGTCTGGGGGTTTGGGCAACGGCGTGACGCACGGCGGCCTGCAGTGGGTGGAAAGACGCGGCGACATCCAAGTGTGAAATCGATCGGGAAACGTACGTCAGGAAAGCAGCTCGCCAAACGACGTACTGTGATACGAAATCGATCTGCGAAATTGGATCGCGAGATTGAAATTCGGGATCTAGTATCGCAGAGTTGAAACGGGAAACTGAACCGCGATAACTATGTACGAAATTGATCGGTGGGTGTGCTCATCAAGATTGAAACGCGAAACGGAAAAGCGAACGCCTGACATGCGGGAAATTGATTCGTAAAATTGACTCTGTGTATGGGTGTGGTTTCGCGAAATACCTGAGCTGCCTGACGAAGCGAATCTGGACTCGCACACACTCCCCGAAATCGCACATGTCGCCTCCCCAACAAACCTGCGACATGCAACTGGCATGCGTCATACGGGCCACTGAACAATCTCGCATGAACAAAAGCATACTACACGACTAAATATGAATCGGATATGTAAAACAAATTCACACGCACTCCGACGTACCTTGCAAAAAAAATCGCCATCCTCGCACTTGCTCTTTCTTAGTCAAAGTTTCCAGGCTTCATGCGATTTCCTCTTTTCGACGCGCGATTTCCTCTTTCCAACGCGCGATTTCCTCTTTCCAAGACGCGAGTTCCTCTTTCCGATACGCTATTTCACCTTCCCCGCACGCGATTTCCCCTTCCCGTAAAAGCAGCTTCTGCATTGAGCCAGGCCTGAAGCAGAATGCCTCCAGGATATATTTGGAATCAGCTTCGCTAGCGGCTCGCCTTGTCGCAGTCGCAAATGCCCTAAGAAAACGAGCGGAATGCCTGAAGCACAATGCCTCACGCTTGCGTTGAACGTGAGAAAATGAGAAAATGAGAGAAAGAGGCGAAAACGCTGTGAAATCCGAGGCTCAGGCGAGAATGGGGCAAGAGACGACGGTGACGCTGGAATGAGGCGGAGGGGTCACCAAGTGCCTCTCCTCTCCTTTCCTCACAACAACCCTCTTCAAATCTACCGTCAAGAATCACTAAACTGCCTGAAACTTTCTTGGAACTCAGATCGTAGCCGTAGATTCGGACCTTCTGCTTGTTTCGTCACGGCAACCCAAGCCTGTTCCTTGTTGGTCTACAGGTTAACCCGCTGCGTTGGGTCGCGACGAACAGCGATACCGGCTGCGAATGGTTGGTTCGGTCAGGCTGAACGTTTGTCCATGACTGTGAGAATCGAGAGTCCATTTCAGTGGCTGGTTGAGAATCGTCCGCGTTGCACATGAATCTGCCGGTCAGGGAAGGGAAAAGAAAATTGCCAAGTTTACGCCGTTTGCTTCTCCCCTCGTCTCGCCTCAGCGAGTACGCGAGACAAACGACACCGACTTTTTTCAGCGAGATTCCGTTGACAAAGGCGGGAGCTGCGGGATTTCGCTGGTGAACGTTGGACTCCGTGTCCTAGGAATTGTCGATTGCCCTCTGATCTGGAGCCGCAGAGCCGTCGTGTCGGTTTGGAACGCGGCAAGCCCAATGGCGTGAATTTGAAGCCGTGGTTCGAGCCACTAGGAGCGAAGTCAATCCTAGCCGTGGATACAGATTCTAGGCAAGCGGTTACGATTGAGATCTGGGGTTGAGACTCCCCATGCGATCTGACCCCTGGGAAAAATGGGCGAAGTTGGCGAACGATCTATGCTTCACACCTATTCTGTTACTCGTCGCTGATTCGACGGAGGGTCTGATCTTTCTGACACCACTGATCTTTCTGAGAAGATAAGTCAGAAAGCTGACACGTTAAAAATGAGGAAATATAATTACTGCAATATGCAGTAAAGGTGCGCTACCATTCAGCATGCCTGAATGTCATGTTGCCAACATAAATGCACAGCAAGACAAAATTGCAAAATATTCTTGGAGTGTGAAGTATACAGTGACAGGATCATCACTCTACATTTTGATTGTTAGACAACAGGACATGCAAGTGTTAGTCTTCATTATTGACCCTACAGTTCATATACCTAGTTCACTCTGGCATGGTGCTTCGTCGTCGTATGTTGGCCGCATATCGACAGCTTTGAGCCAGGTCAACGATCGCTTCAGATTCTGTTCGAGCTTCCATTGCAGCCACAGCAACTCGAACCTCCTCGTTAAACCGATTGATCACGGAGGCTACTTGTGTCCGAAGCTCGTGAAGGTCTGCCGAACCTGATGACAGTGCTAGGGTGTTCCCGAGGCTGTCGTTGGTGTGCAGCGCAGAGGTGCTCCGGGAGCTGCCGCTGCTGGCCCTTGCCGTCCGTGCAGCAGCAAGCTTCCTGTGGAGTGGAAGAGGAAGTGGAAGAGAACACAATGAGGCGGATGGTCACTGTCCATCAGTGTGCGCAACGTGGTAGGCGAAATCAAACTGCTCTCAAGTTTCTCAGATGGCTGGATCCAGACCCCACACGCCTGGCAAAGACGCTCCATCCGCCGAATAAACTGCACTCTTACGTACCTAGCGAACAGGCTATCAGTGTGCTTACGTAGGCGGGCGGCGAGGTGAGAGAGCTCGAGCACGAGGCGGCAGATGCGGCGCACACTTCTGAGAACCCTCAAAAGTGACTCCAACATACCTGACGAACACACTGCTCTCACCTTGCAAACACGCTGTCTGTGTGCTTCTGCAGGCGGGCGGCGAGGTGAGAGAGCTCGAGCACGAGGCGGCAGATGCGGCGCACACTGCCCAGGAGGGTGGCGGAGGGGCGGTCCAGGAAGAGCGCCCTCAGTAGCGCCTGCTGGTAGCGCTCGTGGCAGGCAATCAGCTCGTCCAGATTCGTTGCACTCTAGAGGGGACAGGCGGGGACAGGCGGCGAATGGGTGGCAGAAAAGAGAAAGGAGGGTGTGTGTGGAATCAGATCTGGAATTGCTGCATTCTGGCAGAAGAGGTGGGAAATGAGGGCTGAGGGGAGGTACAGCATGCAGAATTCCCTGGGGACGGCTGATACTGATATCCTAAGGACACAGAGATGTCAGGCATGACATCAGATTCCCCAAAAGCACCCACCAGCATACATGGCTCACCTTGGCCCCTTCCACCATGTCCTTCCAGCTGGTCTCGATCCTGAGAGCAGCAAACGTCTCGATCACGCGCATGAACTGAGACATGCGTGCAAACACGCCCCGCACGCCCCTCACCGGCCCTGCCAGTAGCTTCTCCTCCTCCCTCTCCTTCCACGCCTGCAACCCCCCTGTCACTCTCGCCCCCCCCTCACCACCACCACCACCTTCCAGACTCCCCCCACCAGCACCAGCCGCAGCAGCAGTACCAGCACCAGCAGCAGCGCCCTCTCCTATTCCTGCCGGGTCTGTTTTTCTGGCTTTGCTGCCCGCTCCACCTGCCCGGGAACCCAAACCTCCGGCAAACCTGCCTGAAACCGCAGAGGTAATGGACTCCCTGACAACGGGGGGCAGAAGCCTGGAAGCTCGTGGCTTGAGGGCCAGCCAGGTGGAGGAGAGGGCGCGGCGGGTGCGCTGCAGGAGGAAGAGTGCGGTGAAGAGGCGTGCATAGTGGTGCTGTGCGGTTGTGGTGATGACTGCGGTGAGAGGCGGTAGAATGCGGTACTCCAAGGTGAACACGTCCCAGCCAGATATGCCAGGGGTGCTGAGAATGAAGGGGGTAGGGTTGTTGTGGAAGGGAGGGAGGGCGTAGAGGAGGAGAACAGGGAGGGAGGATGAGCGGGTGGAATGATGGCGGGAGAACGTTGGGAGAGGCAGAGAGTGAAAGCTGTTGGCAACATGGCAGAAGTAAGCTGATAGAACCGTTGATCCCTTTGAGTGAGTTGATGAACTCAAAGAGAGATGCCCCACAGACATACAGAGTGCCTTTTTTGGCACCACACGAGTTTGTGGGCATCACTCACCTGTCGCTGACCAGCTTGACTTGCAGCGCATCAGCCAGAGCTGGTTCCTCCCCTGAGAACAGCGACGCCAACACTGCCCCGTGGAGAGCGCCTGGGGGGAAGGGACACAGGGAATTGGGGGATGGGCCGGGATGGGTGGTGGGAAGACGGCGGAAGTCGATTCAGTGAGATGGTTTGCTTGAAATTCAGTTGGAAAAGCTATTGAGGCACGGAAGCTAGAGTGAATCACGATGCTCAGTGGGAGAGAGAGCAAAGTGGGAAGAAACAAAGATACTGGAAAGAAGAAAAGTGAGTGGGAAGAAGCAATGGGGGTGGGAAGGAGCAAAGAGTGGGTGTAACGACATGAGTCAGCAGTTGTGAGCCATAAAAGGCGGAAGCACCTGAGAGGGCGATGGTGCTGACTTTGTTGACCGGCTTCTTGAGCTCACTGGATGCCTCGTCTAGCAACACCTGCCATGACGAGAGCAGCACAATAACTTTTCGTAAGCAGCAGCAACAATGGATGGATGCTACTGAGGATGGATGCTACTGAGTCGATTCAAACAGGAAGCAGCATTGCCAATGGGGCATTTGCTTGAAGGTATGACGATCAGACTACTGGGTTCTGTTTCGTAGTTAGTGTTAGTTTTTGTGCAGCTTCCCTCACAGACCTGAGCGAAGTGGCTGCATGACCCAACGACGAGACTGACCTGAGCGAAGTGGCCGTTGGTGAGGAGAATGAAGCGCTTGATGAGAGCGCAGTGGTGCAGCAGGTTGAACTGCCCCACCACCACCTGCACCAGCCGCGTCTCCACATGCGCTGACACCCTTTCCACCAGCCTCGGCAAGTCCCGGAGCTCCAGCGAGGCTCGGGCGCCCCGAACCTCCCGCTCCACCTGCTTCGCTGCTTCGGGCCCGAGCCTGTCGCCGCAGCAGTGGGCTAGGAAGCGGATGGACTTGCCAACGCGGAGTATGGTGCGTGCTAGGGAGAGGGGGATGAGACGCACAGGGACCATTGCCTCGTCCATCCTGTGGTGAGGCAATCAAGGGATGTGGAGCAGAGGTGCAGGGTAGGGAGAGACAAAGTGAATGAATTTGCCAACGCGGAGTATGGTTTGTGCTAGGGAGAGCGGGATGAGGCGCACAGGGACCATTGCCTCGTCCATCCTGCGATAAGGGGTTCGAGGGATACGGAGAAGGGGTGCGGGTGAGGGAGAGATGAAACGAATGAACTAGCCAACGTCGAAGATGGCATGTGCTGAGGGAGAAGGAACTGAGGGAGGAACTGAGGGAGGAACTGAGGGAGGAACTGAGGGAGGAACTGAGGGAGGAACTGAGGGAGGAACTGAGGGAGGAACTGAGGGAGGAACTGAGGGAGGAAGGAACTGAGGGAGGAACTGAGGGAGGAACTGAGGGAGGAACTGAGGGAGGAACTGAGGGAGGAACTGAGGGAGGAACTGAGGGAGGAACTGAGGGAGGAACTGAGGGAGGAACTGAGGGAGGAACTGAGGGAGGAAGGAACTGAGGGAGGAACTGAGGGAGGAACTGAGGGAGGAACTGAGGGAGGAACTGAGGGAGGAACTGAGGGAGGAACTGAGGGAGGAACTGAGGGAGGAACTGAGGGAGGAACTGAGGGAGGAACTGAGGGAGGAACTGAGGGAGGAACTGAGGGAGGAAGGAACTGAGGGAGGAACTGAGGGAGGAACTGAGGGAGGAACTGAGGGAGGAACTGAGGGAGGAACTGAGGGAGGAACTGAGGGAGGAACTGAGGGAGGAACTGAGGGAGGAACTGAGGGAGGAACTGAGGGAGGAAGGAACTGAGGGAGGAACTGAGGGAGGAAGGAACTGAGGGAGGAACTGAGGGAGGAACTGAGGGAGGAACTGAGGGAGGAAGGAACTGAGGGAGGAACTGAGGGAGGAAGGAACTGAGGGAGGAAGGAACTGAGGGAGGAACTGAGGGAGGAACTGAGGGAGGAACTGAGGGAGGAACTGAGGGAGGAACTGAGGGAGGAACTGAGGGAGGAACTGAGGGAGGAACTGAGGGAGGAACTGAGGGAGGAACTGAGGGAGGAAGGAACTGAGGGAGGAACTGAGGGAGGAACTGAGGGAGGAAGGAACTGAGGGAGGAACTGAGGGAGGAACTGAGGGAGGAACTGAGGGAGGAACTGAGGGAGGAACTGAGGGAGGAACTGAGGGAGGAACTGAGGGAGGAACTGAGGGAGGAACTGAGGGAGGAACTGAGGGAGGAACTGAGGGAGGAACTGAGGGAGGAAGGAACTGAGGGAGGAACTGAGGGAGGAACTGAGGGAGGAACTGAGGGGAGAACTGAGGGAGGAACTGAGGGAGGAACTGAGGGAGGAACTGAGGGAGGAACTGAGGGAGGAACTGAGGGAGGAACTGAGGGAGGAACTGAGGGAGGAAGGAACTGAGGGAGGAACTGAGGGAGGAAGGAACTGAGGGAGGAACTGAGGGAGGAACTGAGGGAGGAACTGAGGGAGGAACTGAGGGAGGAACTGAGGGAGGAACTGAGGGAGGAACTGAGGGAGGAACTGAGGGAGGAACTGAGGGAGGAACTGAGGGAGGAAGGAACTGAGGGAGGAACTGAGGGAGGAACTGAGGGGAGAACTGAGGGAGGAACTGAGGGAGGAAGGAACTGAGGGAGGAACTGAGGGAGGAACTGAGGGAGGAACTGAGGGAGGAACTGAGGGAGGAACTGAGGGAGGAACTGAGGGAGGAACTGAGGGAGGAACTGAGGGAGGAACTGAGGGAGGAACTGAGGGAGGAACTGAGGGAGGAACTGAGGGAGGAACTGAGGGAGGAACTGAGGGGAGAACTGAGGGAGGAACTGAGGGAGGAACTGAGGGAGGAACTGAGGGAGGAACTGAGGGAGGAACTGAGGGAGGAACTGAGGGAGGAACTGAGGGAGGAAGGAACTGAGGGAGGAACTGAGGGAGGAAGGAACTGAGGGAGGAACTGAGGGAGGAACTGAGGGAGGAACTGAGGGAGGAACTGAGGGAGGAACTGAGGGAGGAACTGAGGGAGGAACTGAGGGAGGAACTGAGGGAGGAAGGAACTGAGGGAGGAACTGAGGGAGGAAGGAACTGAGGGAGGAACTGAGGGAGGAACTGAGGGAGGAACTGAGGGAGGAAGGAACTGAGGGAGGAACTGAGGGAGGAAGGAACTGAGGGAGGAACTGAGGGAGGAAGGAACTGAGGGAGGAACTGAGGGAGGAACTGAGGGAGGAACTGAGGGAGGAACTGAGGGAGGAACTGAGGGAGGAACTGAGGGAGGAACTGAGGGAGGAACTGAGGGAGGAACTGAGGGAGGAACTGAGGGAGGAACTGAGGGAGGAACTGAGGGAGGAACTGAGGGAGGAAGGAACTGAGGGAGGAACTGAGGGAGGAAGGAACTGAGGGAGGAACTTAGGGAGAAACTGAGGGAGGAACTGAGGGAGGAAGGAACTGAGGGAGGAACTGAGGGAGGAAGGAACTGAGGGAGGAAGGAACTGAGGGAGGAACTGAGGGAGGAACTGAGGGAGGAACTGAGGGAGGAACTGAGGGAGGAACTGAGGGAGGAACTGAGGGAGGAACTGAGGGAGGAACTGAGGGAGGAACTGAGGGAGGAACTGAGGGAGGAACTGAGGGAGGAAGGAACTGAGGGAGGAACTGAGGGAGGAACTGAGGGAGGAACTGAGGGAGGAACTGAGGGAGGAACTGAGGGAGGAACTGAGGGAGGAACTGAGGGAGGAACTGAGGGAGGAACTGAGGGAGGAACTGAGGGAGGAACTGAGGGAGGAACTGAGGGAGGAACTGAGGGAGGAACTGAGGGAGGAACTGAGGGAGGAACTGAGGGAGGAACTGAGGGGAGAACTGAGGGAGGAACTGAGGGAGGAAGGAACTGAGGGAGGAACTGAGGGAGGAACTGAGGGAGGAACTGAGGGAGGAACTGAGGGAGGAACTGAGGGAGGAACTGAGGGAGGAAGGAACTGAGGGAGGAACTGAGGGAGGAAGGAACTGAGGGAGGAACTGAGGGAGGAACTGAGGGAGGAACTGAGGGAGGAACTGAGGGAGGAACTGAGGGAGGAACTGAGGGAGGAACTGAGGGAGGAACTGAGGGAGGAACTGAGGGAGGAACTGAGGGGAGAACTGAGGGAGGAACTGAGGGAGGAAGGAACTGAGGGAGGAACTGAGGGAGGAAGGAACTGAGGGAGGAACTGAGGGAGGAACTGAGGGAGGAACTGAGGGAGGAACTGAGGGAGGAACTGAGGGAGGAACTGAGGGAGGAACTGAGGGAGGAACTGAGGGAGGAACTGAGGGAGGAACTGAGGGAGGAACTGAGGGAGGAACTGAGGGAGGAAGGAACTGAGGGAGGAACTGAGGGAGGAACTGAGGGAGGAACTGAGGGAGGAACTGAGGGAGGAACTGAGGGAGGAACTGAGGGAGGAACTGAGGGAGGAACTGAGGGAGGAACTGAGGGAGGAAGGAACTGAGGGAGGAACTGAGGGAGGAACTGAGGGAGGAACTGAGGGAGGAACTGAGGGAGGAACTGAGGGAGGAAGGAACTGAGGGAGGAACTGAGGGAGGAAGGAACTGAGGGAGGAACTGAGGGAGGAAGGAACTGAGGGAGGAACTGAGGGAGGAACTGAGGGAGGAACTGAGGGAGGAACTGAGGGAGGAACTGAGGGAGGAACTGAGGGAGGAACTGAGGGAGGAACTGAGGGAGGAACTGAGGGAGGAACTGAGGGAGGAACTGAGGGAGGAACTGAGGGAGGAACTGAGGGAGGAACTGAGGGAGGAACTGAGGGAGGAACTGAGGGAGGAAGGAACTGAGGGAGGAACTGAGGGAGGAACTGAGGGAGGAACTGAGGGAGGAACTGAGGGAGGAACTGAGGGAGGAACTGAGGGAGGAACTGAGGGAGGAACTGAGGGAGGAACTGAGGGAGGAACTGAGGGAGGAAGGAACTGAGGGAGGAACTGAGGGAGGAACTGAGGGAGGAACTGAGGGAGGAACTGAGGGAGGAACTGAGGGAGGAACTGAGGGAGGAACTGAGGGAGGAACTGAGGGAGGAACTGAGGGAGGAACTGAGGGAGGAACTGAGGGAGGAACTGAGGGAGGAAGGAACTGAGGGAGGAACTGAGGGAGGAACTGAGGGAGGAACTGAGGGAGGAACTGAGGGAGGAACTGAGGGAGGAACTGAGGGAGGAACTGAGGGAGGAACTGAGGGAGGAACTGAGGGAGGAACTGAGGGAGGAACTGAGGGAGGAACTGAGGGAGGAACTGAGGGAGGAACTGAGGGAGGAACTGAGGGAGGAACTGAGGGAGGAACTGAGGGAGGAACTGAGGGAGGAACTGAGGGAGGAACTGAGGGAGGAACTGAGGGAGGAACTGAGGGAGGAACTGAGGGAGGAACTGAGGGAGGGAGGAACTGAGGGAGGGAGGAACTGAGGGAGGAACTGAGGGAGAAATTGAGGGAGGAACTGAGGGAGGAACTGAGGGAGGAACTGAGGGAGGAACTGAGGGAGGAACTGAGGGAGGAACTGAGGGAGGAACTGAGGGAGGAACTGAGGGAGGAACTGAGGGAGGAACTGAGGGAGGAAGGAACTGAGGGAGGAACTGAGGAGAACTGAGGGAGGAACTGAGGGAGGAACTGAGGGAGGAAGGAACTGAGGGAGGAACTGAGGGAGGAACTGAGGGAGGAACTGAGGGAGGAACTGAGGGAGGAACTGAGGGAGGAACTGAGGGAGGAACTGAGGGAGGAAGGAACTGAGGGAGGAACTGAGGGAGGGACTGAGGGAGGAAGGAACTGAGGGAGGAACTGAGGGAGGAAGGAACTGAGGGAGGAACTGAGGGAGGAACTGAGGGAGGAACTGAGGGAGGAAGGAACTGAGGGAGGAACTGAGGGAGGAAGGAACTGAGGGAGGAACTGAGGGAGGAACTGAGGGAGGAACTGAGGGAGGAACTGAGGGAGGAACTGAGGGAGGAACTGAGGGAGGAACTGAGGGAGGAACTGAGGGAGGAACTGAGGGAGGAACTGAGGGAGGAAGGAACTGAGGGAGGAACTGAGGGAGGAACTGAGGGAGGAAGGAACTGAGGGAGGAACTGAGGGAGGAACTGAGGGAGGAACTGAGGGAGGAACTGAGGGAGGAACTGAGGGAGGAACTGAGGGAGGAACTGAGGGAGGAAGGAACTGAGGGAGGAACTGAGGGAGGAAGGAACTGAGGGAGGAACTGAGGGAGGAACTGAGGGAGGAACTGAGGGAGGAAGGAACTGAGGGAGGAACTGAGGGAGGAAGGAACTGAGGGAGGAACTGAGGGAGGAACTGAGGGAGGAACTGAGGGAGGAACTGAGGGAGGAACTGAGGGAGGAACTGAGGGAGGAACTGAGGGAGGAACTGAGGGAGGAACTGAGGGAGGAACTGAGGGGAGAACTGAGGGAGGAGGAACTGAGGGAGGAAGGAACTGAGGGAGGAACTGAGGGAGGAACTGAGGGAGGAACTGAGGGAGGAACTGAGGGAGGAACTGAGGGAGGAACTGAGGGAGGAAGGAACTGAGGGAGGAACTGAGGGAGGAAGGAACTGAGGGAGGAACTGAGGGAGGAACTGAGGGAGGAACTGAGGGAGGAACTGAGGGAGGAACTGAGGGAGGAACTGAGGGAGGAACTGAGGGAGGAACTGAGGGAGGAACTGAGGGAGGAACTGAGGGGAGAACTGAGGGAGGAACTGAGGGAGGAAGGAACTGAGGGAGGAACTGAGGGAGGAACTGAGGGAGGAACTGAGGGAGGAAGGAACTGAGGGAGGAACTGAGGGAGGAACTGAGGGAGGAACTGAGGGAGGAACTGAGGGAGGAACTGAGGGAGGAACTGAGGGAGGAACTGAGGGAGGAACTGAGGGAGGAACTGAGGGAGGAACTGAGGGAGGAAGGAACTGAGGGAGGAACTGAGGGAGGAACTGAGGGAGGAACTGAGGGAGGAACTGAGGGAGGAACTGAGGGAGGAACTGAGGGAGGAACTGAGGGAGGAACTGAGGGAGGAACTGAGGGAGGAACTGAGGGAGGAACTGAGGGAGGAACTGAGGGAGGAAGGAACTGAGGGAGGAACTGAGGGAGGAACTGAGGGAGGAACTGAGGGAGGAACTGAGGGAGGAACTGAGGGAGGAACTGAGGGAGGAACTGAGGGAGGAACTGAGGGAGGAACTGAGGGAGGAACTGAGGGAGGAACTGAGGGAGGAACTGAGGGAGGAACTGAGGGAGGAACTGAGGGAGGAACTGAGGGAGGAAGGAACTGAGGGAGGAACTGAGGGAGGAACTGAGGGAGGAACTGAGGGAGGAACTGAGGGAGGAACTGAGGGAGGAACTGAGGGAGGAACTGAGGGAGGAACTGAGGGAGGAACTGAGGGAGGAACTGAGGGAGGAACTGAGGGAGGAACTGAGGGAGGGAGGAACTGAGGGAGGAACTGAGGGAGAAATTGAGGAGGAACTGAGGGAGGAACTGAGGGAGGAACTGAGGGAGGAACTGAGGGAGGAACTGAGGGAGGAACTGAGGGAGGAACTGAGGGAGGAACTGAGGGAGGAACTGAGGGAGGAACTGAGGGAGGAACTGAGGGAGGAACTGAGGGAGGAACTGAGGGAGGAACTGAGGGAGGAACTGAGGGAGGAACTGAGGGAGGAACTGAGGGAGGAACTGAGGGAGGAACTGAGGGAGGAACTGAGGGAGGAACTGAGGGAGGAACCGAGGTAGGAACTGAGGGAGGAACCGAGGGAGGAACTGAGGGAGGAACTGAGGGAGGAACTGAGGGAGGAACTGAGGGAGGAACTGAGGGAGGAACTGAGGGAGGAACTGAGGGAGGAAGGAACTGAGGGAGGAACTGAGGGAGGAACTGAGGGAGGAACTGAGGGAGGAACTGAGGGAGGAACTGAGGGAGGAACTGAGGGAGGAACTGAGGGAGGAAGGAACTGAGGGAGGAACTGAGGGAGGAACTGAGGGAGGAACTGAGGGAGGAACTGAGGGAGGAACTGAGGGAGGAACTGAGGGAGGAACTGAGGGAGGAACTGAGGGAGGAACTGAGGGAGGAACTGAGGGAGGAACTGAGGGAGGAACTGAGGGAGGAAGGAACTGAGGGAGGAACTGAGGGAGGAACTGAGGGAGGAACTGAGGGAGGAACTGAGGGAGGAACTGAGGGAGGAACTGAGGGAGGAACTGAGGGAGGAACTGAGGGAGGAACTGAGGGAGGAACTGAGGGAGGAACTGAGGGAGGAACTGAGGGAGGAACTGAGGGAGGAACTGAGGGAGGAACTGAGGGAGGAACTGAGGGAGGAACTGAGGGAGGAACTGAGGGAGGAACTGAGGGAGGAACTGAGGGAGGAACTGAGGGAGGAACTGAGGGAGGAACTGAGGGAGGAACTGAGGGAGGAACTGAGGGAGGGAGGAACTGAGGGAGGGAGGAACTGAGGGAGGAACTGAGGGAGAAATTGAGGGAGGAACTGAGGGAGGAACTGAGGGAGGAACTGAGGGAGGAACTGAGGGAGGAACTGAGGGAGGAACTGAGGGAGGAACTGAGGGAGGAACTGAGGGAGGAACTGAGGGAGGAACTGAGGGAGGGAGGAACTGAGGGAGGAACTGAGGGAGAAATTGAGGGAGGAACTGAGGGAGGAACTGAGGGAGGAACTGAGGGAGGAACTGAGGGAGGAACTGAGGGAGGAACTGAGGGAGGAACTGAGGGAGGAACTGAGGGAGGAACTGAGGGAGGAACTGAGGGAGGAACTGAGGGAGGAACTGAGGGAGGAACTGAGGGAGGAACTGAGGGAGGAACTGAGGGAGGAACTGAGGGAGGAACTGAGGGAGGAACTGAGGGAGGAACTGAGGGAGGAACTGAGGGAGGAAGGAACTGAGGGAGGGATGAGACATTCGGGAGCAGTGCCTCTTCCAATCCATGGCAGAAAGAAATAGGGAAGGAATGAAAAGAGGAAATGGGTAAGAGATGACAGGAGGGGAACGGAGAAGTGGAAAAGAAGCGCCCCATTCAACCACACCCACGCTCTCTGCTCCGCGCCCTTCCACACGCCCATTTTCCCTTGCACCCTTGCTTTCCCGCGTGCGCCCCTATTTCCCCACGCCCATCACTCAAATCAAAGCCTTTGAGATCCAACCCCCGCCCTCACCAGAAGCCCTCCTGCCAGAGCACGTCCTTGCTGGCCGCCACCGCACTGCACCGCACAAAAAACTCCTCGTTGCGGGCATCCACGTTCCCCAGCACAGCCCACTCCGCCACGCCCTGCACCAGCGGCCTCACCGCCTCCCCCAGCGCTGCCCCCAGCTGCTCGCGCTCATTGCCCTGCGCTGCTCTCTTCCTCGCCTCCAGTGCGTCTAAGAAGGGACCGCCACGTAAAGATCTGGAGAACATTGGGGGGAAGGGGGGGGGGGGGGGGGGGTTGGGGGCTGAAGAGAGAGTTCTTGACATTCCACTCCGCCACGCCCTGCACCAACGGACGCACCGCCTCCCCCAGTGCCGCCCCCAGCTTCTCGCGCTCATTGCCCTGCGCTGCTCTCTTCCTCGCCTCCAATGCGTCCAAGAAGGGACCGCCTCGAAAAGACCTGGGGAGGATGGGGGGTTGGGATGGAAGGGTGCGTGGAAAGAGTGCAGAGAGCGTCTTGACAGCCCACTCCGCCACGCCCTGCACCAGCGGACGCACTGCCTCCCCCAGCCCTGAGCTCAGCTGCTCGCGCTCACGGCCCTGCGCTGCTCTCTTCCTCGCCCCCAGAGCGTCCAAGAAGGGATCACCGCATAAAGATCTGGAGGAGATGCGGAGTGGGGTTGGGGTGTGCAGAGAGGATGCAGAGCGATTGTGACGGCCCACTCCGCCACGCCCTGCACCAACGGCCGCACTGCCTCCCCCAGCGCCGCCCCCAGCTGCTCGCGCTCGATTCCCTGCGCTGCTCTCTTCCTCGCCTCTAATGCGTCCAAGAAGGGACCGCCGCGCAGCGATCTGGGGGGGATGGGGGAGTTGGGGTGTGCGGAGGATGCAGAAAGGCTGTTGACATCCACCACTCAGTACCTTGAGGCAGCTTCCATCACCCCAGCACCTACCAGCACCTCCCAGCACCCGTGTGTGCAACCACACACCCGTGCGTGCACCCACCTGCACTCATCAATGAAGCAGACGATGCACGCCAAGCGCAAGAACCACGGCGACAGGAACGCCAGCAAGTGCCTTAGCCGCAGATACCCCCCACCCCGGTCCTGCCTCCCCACAGCAAGCCCCCCCTCTCTTAGCCTCGGTGCTGCTCCTCCTGAACCATCCCTCCCCACCGTGCCTTCTTCTGAATCCCCCACCCGCAACTTCACACTCCCGCTCTCCACACCCTTTCTCTCCTCCTCCCCCTGCCGCTCCTGCCGCCACCGCTGCTGCTCCTGCCCTTCCTGCGGTCCGACCCCCCTGCTGCGGGGGGAGCGGGGGCTGGCAGAACGCAGAGCTGGCGGAAGGGCGGCGAGCGCGGGGGAGTGGCGGTGAACGTCTAGACACGCCAGCACGTCGCGGAACTGGCTTAGCGCCGTGCTCAGAGCGACACAGAACGCCTGGCGGGAAAAAAAAAGTGGGGAAGAGGACGGCGAGGGTGAAGGTGAGAGTGAGGGGAAAGGGTGAAAGGACGGAGAATACAACAGCATCCAATCCCTCCACAATCCTTTACACCCCTTTGAACCGCGCCCCTTTAGTCCCGGCTCCTCTCCCCTTCACCCGTCATTCACATAAACTAACCCACACCTCCCCCATACCCGCCCGTCAACTCGCACGTCAAATCGCTCTTCACTCACCATCTGATTCTTGCTCTTCATTCCCTCCGCTACTCCCTCCTCGTTCCCCACGCCCCTCTCCGCGAGCCTCCCCCTTCCCTCCTGTGCCAACGTCCGGTACCTTCGTCCCGTCCCTTCTTCCTTCACAATCACTCTTTCCGCTCGTCCCGTTCTCTCTTCTTTCACCGCCACTCGATCCGCTCGTACCCCTCCGTGTTGCAGTCCCCCACTACCAGCGCCACTAGCACTGCTTATTCTGCCCGAATTGAGTGACGCGACTTCCTGAATGTAGGCTTGGATTTGCCGAACCATCACTCCGAGCCTGCTTAGTTGAAGAGATTCAGCCCTGACAGGAGCGCAGAGGAGAATGGACGGCCATAGGGGTCCGCGAGCGAGAGAGCAAGGAAATTGAGCGACGAAGGAAATGATCAACGAGGATCTTCAAGTACAAAGAAATTGATCCAACAACACGAGGACGATGAGGTTCATCGCGAATCGTACTACCAGAACGTCTTTGTAGGATCCTGAACTAATTCTCTTGCCAGAAAGCTGCATACTCACATGCGTATTTGCTGTATTCTCGTGCCCGGGACGAATCGCACGGATCGCGATTCATCGTCGAACTTGAGGTAACGACCGTCGATTCCTTCGCACAGGATGAGAACGTCGCGAACGAGATCAGATTCCTGCACCACCTCGTCGCCGTGCGACGCTGCGACGTCATTATCTCCCGAAGATCGTTCGTTATCAACTGTCGCATGTTTCCCTCGCGCATCCTGACGATCTCCGGCGACGCGTGCGACAGCAGCGTCAGTCGAAGGCGACCAATCTAACGGTTCTTGCTTCACACGGCCGCTGTTTACCCGATCCTAAAACATAACTCCCTATTCCCGGCCTGGTGCTATTACTCTGGGGGGTAGACGAACCTAACGCGCCTACTAGTCTATGAGGAGTAATGCTCGAGGAGGCACCAGGGCCGGGATACGAGGGCGTATGGCGAAAGCCCGAAACTATATCAAAATCTACTTGAGAATCCGCGAAGTTCCCGCCGCGTCCGGGAGTCACATTCTTTGGCAAACTATCCATTCTTCTAATAACCTATTCCGGAACACTGAAGTTAATGTGGTTACAGTCAGAACCTAAACCTATGAAGCTCGGATTCGAAAGTTAGATATTAGAGGACGGATCAGAAATCCGAAGCAAGCAGGAGTATGGCATAACTGGGTGAAACCGTGAATACTGCTCCGCTCCGTCACTCCGTCAAATCTAGCTGGAAAGAAATCGCCGCTTCGTAGACATAAGGTGACTAGAGCCAACGACTCCTGCCTGCACGAATTCGCTGATTTCTGAACTGGATCCCGAGACTACTGGAAATAGTATATCCTTCGCCTCGAGATTACCATGGCGTTTCCCGCGCATGGCTCGTGATTTGTCAGGGGGATTTATCTGGCAATGTCGGGGAAATCTTTTCAAATCTCTTGTAATAATTGCTGGAAATGGATGGAACATACAGCTTTGTACCTTACACTACGCTTTATGCTAACTAGATGAAATCCATGACTACGTAATTCCGACTGTAAAGTGGGTCAGTAATAACAAGGGTCAAGCTATAGCATAGAAAACGGTAAATACTGACAAACAGGAGGACGAAAACTGCACACTATAACGTGCGAGTATTTTTCTTCCAGGCAGCGAGTTTTGGGTCTTCCTTCTGCTTCTGTCTGAAGAATCCCAGAAGCCCTCCAAGCTTCTTGGGTCCTCCATGCGATTCCTCAACAATGTCATGCAGATTCAGATAATCCATCACACCCTGTCACACAGGAGAAGGGGGGTAGACGGAGGAAAAAACCGGTCACACAACACAGTATTCAGACTTGATGAACGGAAAACGAGGAAGGGGAAATCCCAAAACGCTCCCAATAAGGCACCAGAACCGCCCCTTAAAAAACTCGCATTTGTATCCCACTCAACCAGCCCAAACCCCTCACCTGCAGGCCTGAGTTCGCCACATCCATGGGTGGGTGCTGCCACGGGTTCCCCTGCAGCGACAGCTTCTTCAGACTCGTCAGGTTCACAAACGAAACCGGCAGAATCTTGATATAATTCTCGCTAATATCCAGCTTCACCAAACTCCTCAAATTCCCGATCGTCTCCGGAAGCTCCTTCAGGTGGTAGTAGTGGTTCGCGCTGATATTCAGCGACGTGAGCCTCTCCAGCCGCCCAATGCTCTCGGGAATCGACTGAAGCGAGTTGTAATGCACGTCCAGCTCAGTCAGCTTCTCCAGATTCCCGATCCGCCGCGGCACATAAGTCAGCTGGTTCAGCGGCGCAGACAGCACCTTCAGCTCTGCTAGCTTGCAAATCGCTTCCGGAAGCCCTGTGAGGGAGTTAAACCCGAGCCTCAGCTCCTCTTAAGCCTCGCAGTGGCCGATTGATGTAGGCAGCTCTTCCAGGTAGTTGTGATGCAGGTCCAGCACCCGGAGTTTCGCCAGGTGCCCGATGGACTCGGGCAGCTCGACAAGTTTGTTGCAGGAGGCGTCGAGGACCGAGAGGCAGAAGAGGTTTCCAATGGCCTGGGGAGAAACCACTAGGCCGTTGTTTGCCAGGCGAAGCTCCACGATCCAGTCTAGAAGGGCGACAGACTCGGGGAGGTATGCGAGCGGGGCTTTAAAGTGCTGCCCCTGCAGGTCGAGTTCCTGGCGGCGGTCCTGCGCTGCTTCCTCCAGCACTGTCAGCAGCTTGGGGTCGATCTCCAGTCCGGCTGATGCCTCCTCGATGGGCTTCAGCTGAGACGCTGCAGGGGGAAGGAGAGGTACGCAAGGGGGCTTTAGAGTGGTGGCCTTGAAGATATAGCTCCTGGCGGCGGTCCTGTGCTGCTTCCTCCAGCACTGTGAGCAGCTTGGGGTCGATCTCGAGCCCGGCTGACGCCTCCTCGATTGGCTTTAGTTGGGACGCTGCAGAAAGAGGATAGGGAGGTGCGGATTGATAGGGGAGATGTAGGAAGGGACGTGTGAGTCAAGGTAATTCAGACAAAGATCTATTGGGTGCGGAAGATCTAAGGCACGTGAGGATTGTTGGGGGATACGGGGATTGGGACAGGGGAGTGCGGAACAAGTAGGAGGTATGGGGATTAGGAAAAGGATGTGCGGATATTGTAAGGGAGATGCAGGTAGGGACGTGCGAGCTGAAGCAAGTGGGTACATGTACTTACGACCCAGACCAAATTCTTGATGTAGGTCATTCTGGATGCATAAATGCCATACATTCACTATTGAACCCTGAAAATCTCATAAACCACACGTTTCATGCACTTCTGTTTGCAATCGCATGTCCGTGTGACCTTCAGATTCTCCGCGTTTCCTGGCGTTTCGAGCTCGTTGTTTTGACAACTAAAACATGCAAGTGTGTCCGTGATCGTGATACTATTGATGACCGTGATGTCATGCGAATGTCTCCTTACCTCAGTCCGCACGTGATCAAATTCCCTCTTCTCCGTACTACCCAAACCCATGCCCGACCCGCCGACTTACCTTGTGGCATAGTCGCAAATTTAGACACAGCCTTCGAGTTTGATCCCTTGGCCCCGTCCTTTCCCCCGGTGCTAGCGCCCGGTCTCGTCTCCGCAGCACCGCCCACGTCCCTTCCGAAAGTCACGGCACGCGCGGACGCCCCGGAGGAGGGGAAAGGCTGCGCACGACCCTCCGCGCAGGCGGGGGGCTTCCGACGGCGCCGCCGCGGGGCTCTCCGTGACTGCAGCGGCGAGCGTGGTGGAGTCGGGGCTAGTAACGGATGTGACACTAGTGGGCTTCGCTGTCGGGGTTTCAGCGGCAGGGTTGAAACGGCGGTTGCTGCTCCCGCGGCTGCTGCGCCGGCTGCTGCTGCGACGACCGCTGTGGCCGCGGCCGCTGTCGCGGCTGCTGCTGCAGATGCATCGCCGCCATTCGCATCATCCGTTGCGGTAGAAACCGCTTCAGCGGCATTTCCCCCGCCTGCCTCCTCCGCAACCGATACATCCGCGAAATTCTTCACCTCCGGAGGCTCGGCGCAAGGTCGGCAACGACAGGTTCGGTTTCCGCCGAAGCTACGAGGGTGGGAAGTCGGCCGGTGAGCATCGCCTCTTCCGCGAGCATCACCATCTTATCGTAGTGGCGGTACTTAGCCTCCAGATCCAACGTCGCTTGCGGCTACGCTTCTTCATACTCGCTGCAGTGCGCATCACGTCTTGCTTAAGAGCCACCAGCTGCTTGAAAAGATACTCGTCTGCGCCGTCTGGCCGCGTCTCCGATACAAGCGCTTCCATTTGCGATACAAGGTGCTTGTCGATTGCTATAATTTCCTTAGCCGCGTTTTCCACGTCATGCAGGGTGGGTCTCTCCCCAAGGCTATCCCGTACGGCATGCATGCATGTCTTGGACTAGGGCCAGCAAATGCGAACATTGTGCTGCAGAGTCTTTGGTTGGGATCTGTGTTGTTGGAATATCTGTGGTTGCTGACGTGGCATCCTGATGCACTTCCCCGCGGAATCAAGTGGTGAAGAGCTCACATCGTTTGCAGCCATGGTGATAACGGCAGAGCCGTACGGAAAGAGCACCGTGAGAAGCGGAAAGGCAGACGCTTATTGTGGGAAAGTGCGATACAATTCGGGATAAGAAGCGTAACACTTACACACACCAATTAGAAGATGGTTAGCTTGAGATTGGTGGCGATAAGAGCTGGGACACCAAGCCAAGACCACTCCGCACACAACTACGTGACGACTGGACTCAGCCTAGAACAGTCAACTAGAAACAAGTCTCTAGGAATGGAAAAGGCCTAGGTGTTGGTAAGGTAAGGACAATCTCGACCACAACTAGAGAGCATGAAGATGCTGGGCGAACGAACAGTTCACCAGAAGGCGGGGGGAAGGCTGGGCGAACAGTTCGTTTCCAGAAGTGGTTACCATCAAACGAAAAGCACGGGACCAGTTTCCTTGCCAATCAATGTCGCACGGGGCACGTGCGCGGCTGGTTCGCGTGGCTGGTGGCGTATTTTGCGCAACGCTTCCGCCAGAGATGTTTCTGCCATCCCATACAGGCTCAACCGTGTGGCGCGCACTAATTGCACGATAAGCCAGCCTGTGCGGGAATGATGTGGCCAGTGGAAGCCTAAGACCACCTGCAACAATCCAGCTTCACATGCGTGGGTACTAACCGTCGATGCCATGTCATGACACGGTCGCAGCTCATCCCACCATTCATTGTCGATCCACAATTTTCTCGTTCCGTTTCCACATAAAGCGATGTAAAACTAGTGAGCAAGTACGAAAATGATATTGAAGAACCTTCATATTGCATTTCCATATGCTGATTTTTTTTGGGACTGAAAGCGCTCGTTCCGAGCACTCGCAGTGAGCGTTTTTCTTCCACCAAGTCACGTGGCTGCGCTTGTCTAGGCCTCTTGCCAAACCAGCAAGGGCATGGAAGGGTTGCGAGCATCATTGGTCATCGGCCCTTGAGAATGAAAAGCGCCCGCTGCACTTCCTCCACATGTGCGGATCCTAGCGTGTTTCGAGGCTAGAAGCGCTCGCAGTGAGCGTTTTTCTTCTACCAGGTCACGTGGCTGCGCTTGTCTAGGCCTCTTGCCAAGCCAGCAAGGGCGTGGAAGGGTTGCGAGCATCACTGGTCATCGGCCCATGAGAATGAAGAGCGCCCGTTGCACTTCCTGCACATGTGCGGATCCTAGCGCGTTTTGAGGCTAGAAGCGCTCGCAGTGAGTGTTTTTCTTCTACCAGATCACGTGGCTGCGCTTGTCTAGGCCTCTTGCCAAGCCAGCAAGGGCGTGGAAGGGTTTCGAGCATCATTGGTCATCGGCCCTTGAGAATGAAGAGCACCCGCTGCACTGTTTCGTCCACATGTGCGGATCCTAGCGCGTTTTGAGGCTTGAAGCACCCGCGTGAGCGTTTTTCTCTACCAGGTCATGTGGTTGCGCTTGTCTAGGCCTCTTGCCAAGCAAGCAAGGGCGTGGAAGGGTGCAAGTATCATTGGTCATCGGCCCTTGAGAATGAAGAGCGCCCGCTGCACTTCCTCCACACGTGCGGATCCTAGCGCGTTTTGAGGCTAGAAGCGCTCGCAGTGAGCGTTTTTCTTCTACCAAGTCACGTGGCTGCGCTTGTCTAGCAAGCCAACAAGGGCGTGCAAGGGTTGCGAGCATCATTGGTCATCGGCCCTTGAGAATGAGGAGCGCCCGCTGCACTTCCTCCACATGTGCGGATCCTAGCGCGTTTTGAGGCTAGAAGCGCTCGCAGTGAGCGTTTTTTCTTCTACCAAGTCACGTGGCTGCGCTTGTCTAGGCCTTTTGCCAAGCCAGCAAGGGCGTGAAGGGTGCGAGCATCATTGGTCATCGGCCCTTGAGAATGAAGAGCGCTCGCTGCACTTCCTACACATGTGCGGATCCTAGCGCGTTTGAGGCTAGAAGCGCTCGCAGTGAGCGTTTTTCTTCTACCAGGTCATGTGGCTACGCTTGTCTAGGCCTCTTGCCAAGCCAGCAAGGGCGTGGAAGGGTTGCGAGCATCGTTGGTCATCGGCCCTTGAGAATGAAGAGCACCCGCTGCACTTCCTGCACATGCAAGGATCCTAGCGCATTTTGAGGCTAGAAGCACTCGTTCTGAGCGTTTTTCTTCTACTAGGTCACGTGGCTGCGCTTGTCTAGGCCTCTTGCCAAGCCAGCAAGGGCGTGGAAGGGTTGCGAGCATCATTGGTCATTGGCCCTTGAGAATGAAAAGCGCCCGCTGCACTTCCTGCACATGTGCGGATCCTAGCGCGTTTTGAGGCTAGAAGCGCTCGTAGTGAGCGTTTTTCTTCCACCAAGTCACGTGGCTGCGCTTGTCTAGGCCTCTTGCCAAGCCAGCAAGGGCGTGGAAGGGTTGCGAGCATCGTTGGTCATCGGCCCTTGAGAATGAAGAGCGCCCGCTGCACTTCTTGCACATGTGCGGATCCTAGCGCGTTTTGAGGCTAGAAGCGCTCGTTCTGAGCGTTTTTCTTCTACCAGGTCACGTGGCTGCGCTTGTCTAGGCCTCTTGCCAAGCCAGCAAGGGCGTGGAAGGGTTGCGAGCATCATTGGTAATCGGCCCTTGAGAATGAAAAGCGCCCGCTGCACTTCCTCCACATGTGTGGATCCTAGCGCGTTTTGAGGCTAGAAGCGCTCGCAGTGAGCGTTTTTCTTCTACCATACCGATCATGTGGCTGCGTTGTCTAGGCCTCTTGCCAAGCCAGCAAGGCGTGGAAGGGTTGCGAGCATGATTGGTCATCGGCCCTTGAGAATGAAGAGCGCCCGCTGCACTTCTTGCACATGTGCGGATCCTAGCGCGTTTTGAGGCTAAAAGTGCTCGTTTTGAGCATTTTTCTTCTACCAGGTCACGTGGCTGCGCTTGTCTGGGCCTATTGCCAAGCCAGCAAGGGCGTAAGGGTTGCGAGCATCATTGGTCATTGGCCCTTGAGAATGAAAAGCGCCCGCTGCACTTCCTCCACAAGTGCGGATCCTAGCGCGTGGAAGGGTTTGCGAACAACATTGGTCATCGGCCCTTGAGAATGAAGAGCGCCCGCTGCACTTCCTGCACATGTGCAGATCCTAGCGCGTTTTGAGGCTAGAAACGCTCGCAGTGAGCGTTTTTCTTCTACCAGGTCGCGTGGCTGCACTTGTTCTAGGCCTCTTGCCAAGCCAGCAGGGGCGTGGAAGGGTTGCGAGCATCATTGGTTATCGGCCCTTGAGAATGAAGAGCGCCTGCTGCACTTCCTCCACATGTGCGGATCCTAGCGCGTTTGAGGCTAGAAGCACTCGCAGTGAGCGTTTTCTTCTACCAGGTCACGTGGCTGTGCTTGTCTAGGCGTCTTCCCAGGCCAGCAAGGGCGTGGAAGGGTTGCTAGCATCATTGGTCATCGGCCCTTGAGAATGAAGATCGGCCGCTGCACTTCCTCCACATGTGCGGATCCTAGCGTGTTTCGAGGCTAGAATCGCTCGCAGTGAGCGTTTTTCTTCTACCAGGTCACGTGGCTGCGCTTGTTTAGGCCTCTTGCCAAGCCAGCAAGGGTGTGGAAGGGTTGCGAGCATCACTGGTCATCGGCCCATGAGAATGAAGAGCGCCCGTTGCACTTCCTGCACATGTGCGGATCCTAGCGCATTTTGAGGCTAGAGCGCAGTGAGCGTTTTTCTTCTACCAGGTCACGTGGCTGCGCTTGTCTAGGCTCTTGCGAAGCCAGCAAGGGCGTGGAAGGGTTGCGAGCATCATTGGTCATCGGCCATTGAGAATGAAGAGCACCCGCTTGCACTTCCTGTACATGTGCGGATCCTAGCGCGCATTGAGTCTAGAAGCGCTCGTAGTGAGCGTTTTTCTTCTACCAGGTCATGTGGCTGTGCTTGTCTAGGCCTTTTGCCAAGCCAGCAAGGGCGTGCAAGAGAGTTGCAAGCATCATTGGTCATCGGCCCTTGAGAATGAAGAGCGCCCGCTGCACTTTCTTTATATGTGCGGATCCTAGCGCGTTTTGAGGCTAGAAGCGCTCGCAGTG